GACAGCTCCGTCGGCCCCTCGCGCCGTCCTGCAGCCAGATGCGGCTCTTCTCCACCTTCAGCACCCCGGACAGCTCCGTCGGCTCCTCGCGCTGTCGAGCGCAGCTCCGTCCGCCCCTCGCACCAACGAGCTGCCTGAAGCGGCTCTTAAGCACGTTCAGCACCCCGGACAGCTCCATCAGCCCCTCTCGCCGTACAGTAGCCTGAAGCGGCTCTTCAGCATGTTCAGCACCCCGGAGAGCTMTGTCGGCCCCTTGAGCCGTCCAACAGCCAGATGTAACTCTTCAGCACCCCGGACAGCTCCGTTGTCCCCTTGCGCCGTCCAGTGGCCAGACGCGGCTCTTCTGCACCTTCAGCACCACGGACAGCGCCATTGGGCGGCCCGAAGCGGCTCTTAAGCACTTTCAGCACCCCGGACAGCACCTTCGGCCCCTCGGGCTGTTTAGCGGCCAGACGTTGCTCTTCGGCACCTTCAGCACCACGGACAGCTCCGTCCGTCCCACCCGCCGTCCAGTGGCCTGAAGCGGCTCTTCAGCATGTTCAGCACCCCGGACAGCTCCGTCGGCCCCTCGAGCCATCCAACAGCCAGATGTTGCTCTTCAGCACCCCGGACAGCTCCGTTCGGCCCCACGCGCCGTCGAGCGGCCTGAAGCGGCTCTTCAGCATGTTCAGCACCCCGGACAGCTTCGTCGGCCCCTCGCGCCGTCGAGCGCCCTGAAGAGGCTCTTCAGCACGTTTAGCACCCCGGACAGCTCCGTCGGCCCCTCGAGCCATCCAACAGCCAGATGTTGCTCTTCAGCACCCCGGACAGCTCCGTTCGGCCCCTCGTGCCGTCCAGCGGCCTGAAACGGCTCTTCTGCACGTTTAGCACCCCGGACAGCACCGTCGGCCCCACGCGCCTTCCAGCGGCTTGAAGCAGTGCTTCAGCACTTCCAGCACCCCGGACAGCGCAGTTCGGCCCCACGCGCCGTCCAGCGGCCTGAAGCGGCTCTTCAGCATGTTCAGCACCCCGGACAGCCCTGTCGGCCCCTTGCTTCGTCCATCGGCCAGAAGCAGCCCTTCAGCACGTTCAGCACCTCGGTCAGCTCCGTCAGTCCTTCACACTGTACAGTATATGATCTGTATTTAAATGAATATGTTAAAGCAATGCCTGTCACCTGCCATTTGCAACACTCTGCTCAGTTTGTAAGGAAACCCATGACCAGCAGGGGGTAGCAGAGTCTGAGTTTCTTCAGGTCCAGGTGATGTTAGAACTTTAGTAACCACCTTCAGCTGTGACATCAGCTAAACCTAACAATCATGAAGCTGAAGAAGCTTTAAACCCTCAACCAGCAGTTGAGTTTATTTATTGATGGATTGTTTTTGAAGGCCTGGGAGCACCTGAAGGAGCGGACAGAACCCAGAGTCTGAACCTGAACTGGTGAGCAGAGATGATAAGAAAACAAACAAACAAATATAGAGGATGTGTGCTGTAGTTGAATATATCGAGAGTAGCTAAAAGCTAAAAATAGCACGAGGCCAAGCTGAGAGTCGTCCTCATAAAAACTTAGATTGTTTAAATTTGTGACATGCAGCAGGTGATATGCATTCCTTCAGCTAATACTATGTTCAGGGGTTGTATTTTCCACCTGATCGTCTCTTCGTCTCGTCTTTTTTCTTTTTTTCGTCTAATTCTTTCTCCTCAAACTTCCTCCAAACATCACAACAATTTTTTTACTTAGAAACTTTCCAGTTGTGAAACAAATAAAAACTCTTGCTGAAATAAGAAGTTTCAGATTCCTGTCAGATGGAGTAAGGAGAATATTTGGGTTTTATTTTCTGACATGTTCCCAGCAGCACGTTTTTATTCTCAGATCCTGAATATTTTAACAGTTTGGGCTCAAAGTGTTCGGCTCTGCGAGGAGGAGACTTTTATTCTGAAAAACCTGAAAAGACAATCTGTGGATCCAAATACCTCACAGTGGTTTGATGAGAACCATACATCCATCCGTCCGTCCATCCATACATACATACATCCAACCATCCGTCCATACAGTATATCCATCGAACCATCCGTCTATCCATCCATCCATACATACATACATACATACATGCATACATACATACATGCAACCATCCACCCATCCATTCCACCATCCATCCATCCAACCAACCATCCATCCAACCATGCAACCATCCATCCATCCATCCAGTTTCAGCTTGTTTTTACAGTTTTCTGAAGTTTATTATTAAGAATTAATGAAAAGAAATAAGAAACAGGAACACAGATTATTGCTGACTCAGCGTTCATGCTAAAGAAAAATATAATTTGAACCAAATCTTCTTTCTTCTGATTTTATCTTTTCGTTTGAATTATTTCCTCCTCGTTTTTCTTCCTGCTAAAGGGAAAAATCAGAAGTTTTTTTGTTGTTTCCTTTCAGAATGTGTTTTCTGATTTCTAGCTGGACCGCAGGTTTCACTCCCTGATGGAGTCACCGTCGTCCCGGTTCTTACAGTTCCCCTCCCCAGAGGTCTGCTCCGATCGGGCCAGGCGGGTCACACGGCGGCGAGCTTCCTCTGTAAATTGGTTGTGACAAAGCAGGATGGCAGCTTTGTGTCGCCGCTGAACCCCAAACAGACCTCATCTTCTTCTCTGTAGCGTGTTTACCGTCTGCTGCCAGGTGAGGAGTAAACAACCTTTATTTATTTATTTATTTATTTATTTATTTATTTATTTATTTATTTATTTATCAGGCTTTTCTTTTCATGAAGACAACTCGATGGGTTCTGTGGGAAAATATGTGCAGAAAATTTTAAATTATGCATTGAAGTTATATTTGATGATGTCATCGTTAAACAATCCTATAAATGTGAGAACAAAATTTAAACGATTAAATAAAAATAAGCTCATCAGGTTATCTCCTGAAAGTTTCATTCAAATCTGACCATTTGCTAATAGAATATTTTGCTAACAGGCCCAGAAACAGAGCAGAGTTGCTGCTGATGCTCAGCTTCCACCTCGCTGACAGGTGAAGAGTTTAGCTGTGCTGCAGCCCGAGGAGCCGAAGTTTCCTCTACCTCAGCTGAAGATCCGCGATGCTCAGGGGACGGCAGCCGAAGGGCTTTCACTCAAACTGTGAGCTGCTTTTATTCTGTCTCAGTCTGAAGGAGCCCGTCTGGCACACCGTGTCCTCCAGAACCCCAAACAGACGAATCAGCCGTCGCACAGAAAACCGCTCCATGATTCAGAGCCAAAGACTTAAAATACTAAAATATAGAAATATTTAGCTTTTTTTAGCTTTAAGCAACAAGTACAAATACAAATACCTGCATTTTATCAGTGATATCTAACTGGACAGACACTGCTTAATATAAACCAGGTATTTTTATAAACCAGGTCCTCTCAGGTCTAGACCCAGTTCTTTGATTGACCTGTTGGTCTTTAACCTAATGTTTTTTCGACATACTTATGTTCTGTTGTTTCTGGCCCAATGTTCCTTATACGTGGATTTGATCAAATCAAACTTTTTTCCTACGAATAGTTTTTGCTAAAACAAATTCAGTGTTTATGTAAAGGTTGTTTTAAATGTTTTAATTCAGTGACAACAGAAGACTTCACACAGTTTAACTGAACTGTTAAATATTCTTATGTAGCTGTTAAACTTCCCATTCTGCAGTATTTTTAATAAACTTCACCTGGAAGAGCTAAAACAGCTAAAATCCTCCTTCACATTAATGCATCACTGAATTTAATGACACCTTTTAGGATTAATCAGGAGTTTTAAACCATTATATTTCCCCTGGTTGCACTTTTTCCTTTTCATGAGTCCTATTTTCTCTGGTTTAGCCTCCGTGCACCTAATTTACCTGAAGTTTGAGGTTCCAGCTGCAGACGTTTCTTATTTTTAAACCTAATTAAAAGCTGCAGATGGAGCAGAGGACTCCTGGATGTGTTGGTGTGAATGATCAGACCTGCAGCTTCGGCTGATGTGAGGGAAAATAAATATTTTTAGTTTTGATTCTTGAAGGTTTGTTCTAATCTAAAAGCTTCCTTCAGTTTTTACGACACATCGGCACTTAAAGTTCATTCTGAAGTGGATTTTTACATAAAGGTTTTGGACAATTATCACCCACAGCCGAAGACAAAAGGGCGACAATAAGAACTTGATATTTAAAATGCTGATTCATCATCAGTGTGTTCTTATAAAGATTTATTTTTGCTTCTGTTTAGCGTCGTCACGGTTGTTTGGTGACAGGATGTACACCGGGGTAAGGGTGGGAGGCTGGACCACCAAATTCACAGACACGTTTTCGGCTGTTTGCAGTAGACCAAGGACTCGGCCCACCTAGGCCGGATCCTTCGAAGGACCCAATCCCATGGCTGCWCAAACATATCTTGTGACCACGCATTAACTAACTTGTGGCCACACATTATTTTTTACCAATGTCAACAAACTCCGTAAAAACGGACGATATTCTGAGGTTAATATTTAAGAAGGTTTCTCAGTAATGTAACACAAAGGTACTTATTTCTTTATTTAAGCTGTGTTATGGTCTGATGGAGAAAAACTTCATGAGCTGAAAGCAGCTGAAGCTCCAGGAGACAGTTATAGCTGACACCAGTTGAATAAATGTTAGCTAACATTTATTTATTTATTTATTTACAGGCAGCTCCACCTGTAATGTCTGATAACACCAGTAAACTTCCTGTTTGAGAAAAATAAAACAGATTGCTTTCCTGTTTTTGAACATCAGGACCACTTTTATCAACTTAATTCTTCTAAAATTATTTAGCATCTCTTAACAAGTAACCTCTTATTGATCTCAGAGAGATTTTAGCTACTGTTTAGCTAATTTCAGCACTTGTTTTAGTTTTGCTAATACTAGCTGCAGCTATTAACCCCATTGTTGATTATATCATTCATCTTAGCTTGTTTTTAGCATTAAAAACGTTTGTTTCTTTAGTAAATTTCAACATTTTCAAAATAGTTGCACGGAAAAAGCAAATCCTTATCGTTTATTTTTTCCACACTAAACCAATTAATTCCTAATCCATCCATCCATCCATCCATTTTCTTCCGCCTATCCGGGGTCGGGTCGCGG